AAAATCATCATTTTTCGGATAATAAATGATAAAATGATCTCGCGCTGCGAACTTGATCTCGATCTGAGAATTCGCTCACAGCTTTTCCCACGTTGAACAGGCAGGAAAACAATTAGTAGGGTTCTTGGGACAAGGGAGAGTAGGTAGCGTAATGGAGAGATCGTATCGCATGGCCATCTTAGTATTAACGGTCTATACGGTATTATCCCTCTGCAAAAGGGCACTTTCTCGGTTTATGCATAAGAAAAATGGAGATTTGGAGAATACAACATTGCTCACGAATGCTAAGTCTAAACTAATAAAACTAATGGCACCTTTGCACTTAATAAAAAAATATTGTCAAATAAATTTTCTTCTTCGATGCCAATGTTTCAATGGATTCTTTGCAAAATTCACACAAGAACTTTGTCTGATCTTGATGGAGAGTATTGCCAGAGTATTTCAAGAATTTTTAGAATAGAAGCTCTATGTGGTGCGAAGAAAAAGATTCTTCTCTTCTATTACGAAGCAACCGAATAATTAATCACACTCCACATCATTCTCCATGAGCGCACCTAACAATAAGAAGGATCGTAAGAAATGCGTTGGACGTTCGTCCATCTGGTACATTCATTCCAATGCGAAGAAGATTCTCGAATTTACGCTGTCTCATCAATCTCCGTCTTACCGCCGAATGATAGCGCGACGCGGCGTAAAATCGCCGATCGGATGCGACACAACGCGTGACATCGCGTTTTTTCTCTTTTTCCAGCTCCTTGCTCTTGGTCGATTGCTCTTGGTATCCTGATATGGAGAAGGAAAGCAGCGAACTCTCTTCCCACGAGTGCTAGACGACGGTACTTGATTGGCAAACAATTAGCGGCCACGATGTCGAGAAAGAGGGGACGATGAAGATGATTGGGACGAGGGACGACGACGGCGACGACGAAGAGAACCGAACGCGGAATAGGTATGTATCACGCGAGCATCTTTGACCGGCGTCACGCATCCTCCTTACAACCCTCTCTTATCTCTCTCTTTCTTTCTCCACCTCTTTGGCAAGTCGCTCGTTCGCCAATATCTTTACAATGAGAACAATACCGTAGTTCTTCCGCCGGAGCGAACAGACAAAGGGCATTCCTGGGACAAAACCGTTGTCACCATCGTCACCGTCGTCATTGTGAAACTCCAGAGAATCCTACAATCTTACGAGCATGCTAAAATATTCTGCATAGAGCACAAAGCAGGAATCATAAACTACCCTTTATCTGCACTTGCACTATTTTTATTAATATCTAAGAACTGATCTGCGAAAATACATCCTACCTATTATTATACCTATATACATACATACGTATACATACATCATGTCATAAAAAATAGATCGAGATAGAAAAGACAAAGGTAAAACTCTAGATGCAAGCTTAATAGATTAAAAAAAAAAAGATAACAAATTGCTCGTAAAAATAAATAACAAAAAAATAATATAAATTGAAATTATAATTATGCATAAATATAATTCTTAGGTATATACCGATTGCTGTTTAATGATATCTAAATGAGATAGAGAAACAGCAAGTGAAACAACTCTGACTACGTTGCTATACGCATTAATTGTTTTGAATTAAATGCGCCAAATTCAATTCGAGGGCTGCGCGTTTTCTAATATAAAGTTTTGAATTTTACGTGTACGCACGTATATCTATCGAAATTCCCAACCTTCGCAAAGCATCTAATTCTCTGCTTTTCATCTCCTATCATATCCCTTCCTCTCTTCTTGTCTTTTTCTACTTTTCCTTTCCAAAACTACGCTCCGTTGCGCCCGTTATTTTCGAGAATCTCGAACCTTTTCGAGAATCGCATTCTTTTTAATTGGTGGGACGTGTTTCGTGTTGCGCACGAACGTTACAGACTCGTGTATTTTTTGTTTCTTCTCTATATATTCCTCTTCGATAGTCGAACGGCTTTTTCTACGGCGTTTTTCGACATTTCGCGTAAATTCCAGCAACATCGTTCCTTTGTCATGGTAGTAACCACCGTCGGCAGGGTGTAACGCGACTCCAGTATCCGAGTCAATGTCGTCACGAATCGAATATACAAGAGATAGAAAAGCATTCGGCAGTGCACAGTATGAAAGCTCGCGAATGATTGTCGATTAAATTCCACCGTTAGCGGCGAACCGATTCGTCCATTAAATACGATCAATTATTTCCTGGCCGTTATCGAGGCTTCGAGGCTCTGTGATGAAATTGAACGTGGAATGGCCAGTTACACAAGTCCTATTTCTCGCGCGGTCTCTTATCGCGAAAGTCTCGCTTTTGGAAAACGATTATTTGAAATATAAACGCGAAAGCGTTGTTGTCGCTCTTAAAACTCTTTGTATTCTATAAAGTGCGGTGCAAGGTGCACGCGGATTGTTTAGCAAGTCGTTTTCACGACGAGTCGCAATCGATGAGGATCGCACTCGCGCGAGAAACGTGGGACATGATCGCGTCTTTAGAGCTACTTAACAGTCTCACGAAACGGTCGATTCCGTAGTCGACACCTCGCGACGAAGCGAACGCACGTGGTCGAGATAGAGAGCGTGCGTGTGTCCCGACATTCCGGTGAAATGCGTTTAAACCGCCGCGACAAATCGTTAACGGGCTTCTAATCGCCGCGCATTACTGAGGTGGCACCTTCGTAAGTAACGAACGACTGGACGAACTTGGAATAATTATTACGTTTTTCTCATCGAGGAGGTCAAACGAGATTGGCAATATTCGTTGGCGAGCGTTACACGTGTCTTGACATGCACGACATACTTTGAACGTAAAAACAGTTTCTCGCTGCAGGCAATTAAATGCTATTCTCGCCCTTGCCGGATATTCGCATTTGTAATTATTGCATAATAGTACTGATTTTTCATAATATTTAAATTAATTAATTACTCATTACCTTAAATCGCTATGCTTTAATTAACTAATGTGCTACAATTGGTTTAACCTATTATAAATTGCATGACTTTCGAAACAAGTAAATAGATAAATAATTGCAAGCCCCGCGCAATACGTTAAGATCTAGTTAGCACAACTAACGATTCGGAAGTGCTGTTTGCCGTGAGATTTCGAGCGAGACTCGCTTCGCGCCCCTTACCCGTGTCGGAGCGGAGGTAAGCGTATACGAGAGAGAGTTCGCCGAGACACGCTCGTTGTCGGAAATAACGACATAATGACATGGTAGAGGAGGAGTGCCCCAGGTAGGTAAATCCAAGACGCAGGCACGGCATAACTAGAGAGAAAGAGAAAGGACGATCGGGAGGGACAGGGAGGGAGAGAAAACCAGACCGGGATATATCCAGCGAGGCACAAGAGAAGGAGGAAGGTGAACGAGGAGGAGGTGGGATCATCGGCGTGTCTCGGCAGCATCCCTGACCATCGCCGGTGGTTCATCAACTCCGAGGAGTTGAAGAGGCCTTAATAGGCTCTCCTGCTAGAGTCTGGACCATGTCACGCACCCTTTTACCTCACGTCTCGACCTGATTTCGCACGTGATTCCCGCTGCTGAACTGTCAGTTGCGATTCGACTGGATTTATTAATCAGCTGAATACACCCCGAATTTGCATAATAAAATAAAAAAGATGCACTTGTATATATACATATGATATAATATAACAAGAAAAGAAGAAAGATTCGAATCGGTATAATTTTGATCAGTGCAGATGTCGATTTTCGTAGATGCGGCGCATGGATTACATTTGCGCACTACAGAATTCTATCGCCATATAATCAAAGATTAAAAATTAAACCCTAACAAAATCGACATCGATATAATTTTTTCATTATTATAGAATTGCAATTTCTATACAATCGTAAAATCAATTGATATCAACGCGCTCTCTTTCCTGCACGAAATGTGTAATTGTCTTCACTCTCATTCTTTATAAACGTACCGATTGCGATATTCTGTCATTTCTCTAATTATTGATCTTTGATAGACGCGTGGACCACGCGCAATCGCAATAACTTTAATAGCGCTTTATCGCGTTAACGACCGGTATAAATCGCCGGCGGATATATATTGATACAACGCGAAATTCCATGGTAAATGAAACAACGGCGAAATTGAGTGGTCAACGCGCCGACGCACATTACCGCGATAATTCCCAATAATTTATCATCGCCGCGTTGCGTCGCACGCCCCGCGCCATGTAATCGTCGCAGCCGCCGTGCCGCGCCTCGCCGCGCCGTTGCATCCGCCGCGCTGCATTTCCAGCGTCATGAAGAATTGAACGACGTCGCGCGCGGTTTGCGTCGCGGTGTTTATCGGCCGTAAAGAATCGACGCGACCGCTCTTCTCTCTTAATGGGTTCACGCGCCGTGGAATCGTGCACAAAGCGCGACGCGGCCCGCGAGAGATCGCAACGGCGGCCGCACGCGTCATGCTCTCTTTAACATCGAATCGGCCCAATTTTGCCCACTATTTAGCGACGCCATGCTTCGCCGCAGCCGAATTAGCCGAATCCGCAGAAGCACGTTCGCATGAATCGATAACCGCGTTTCGCGGCTCAACCCTTTCGCGTACTATATTTCTTTCACCTATATACAAGTATAATACTCTATATGAAAGAAATACAATACGATTTATGATTTGCTTTAAAAGTATCAGAGAATTATTATATAGTTGTATTATGTGTTAAAAAATATACAATAAGCAAAAGAGGTGGGCTAGTATAACTATAATATATGTATCAAAGAAATACAATAGATAAAAGAATTGAGCTCACTATAAAGATTTATTTTTATTTTTGTCTATAATTTTCTCGCATAAACTATTTTATCAATTTTCCGATGATTTGAAAAGACGATATAATCCTTTGATACTTGCAAAGCAAATCATAAACTCGAGGGCATGTGAGTGATAGAGAGAGAAAGCGCGCGTGCGCGCATACATTTGGTGCGCGAGCACGGACGCGGTTGTAAATATAAATCGTGAATCCAATTTGCGGACGCCATAAATCAATAGCGTGATCACGATTCGGCTAAAAAGGCATGGAACTGTCTGACAAAGTCAGATCGGGGCCGGGACAAAAGACGCGGTACGGATGCGTCGTCGAGGACAAGAGAAACGATGCAATGCGGGCAAACTGGTGGCCCGAGGCATGCCAAATTTTTAATGAAAATAAAATCAAGGAAAGCATAACTGAATTACTCACCATAGAAACGGGGATGGGTCCTCCGGCTCCGTTAGGATACGGATATGGCGAAACGAGGTAGCCCATGTTGAACGAAGAGGTATGAGGTGTTGGATCCACTTTTCCTATTTTAGAAACAAACGAGAACACATTATTATCAGGATAATTGCAGATTTTCTTATTAATAATTAAATATGTATGAAATTGATTTAGTAATTAGAAAAAAAAATTATTCACTTTTCTTACTTTGCGTTTTTAACTAAATATTATTTAATAAAAGTCATATATTATTATAAAATGATCATTTTCATCAAATTCTCATTTTCTATAAAAAATAAAAATAATCAAACTCTGAAAAATGTATGTTAGTAATGATTGTTATGTATAGTGATATTTACATCAATTAAGCCGGTATCGCACAGATCATAGATTGCTACAGATTAGTCAGATGTTAAACAGACCACAGACGGAGAAACATTCTTTTAAATGGCAGCCTGCACGCGAACCAAATTATAGAAAGTAAAAAGGAGTTCCGAAAGAAAGACCGACAGTGGTACGACAATTTGGGGTTCGTGCAACACTGGCCTTAATTATATATGTTCTCTATACAAATCGCTTTTGTTTTTCTTTTACATGACAGTTTGCCGAAAACTGCAAGATTGCGTGGTATTTTATCTAGTTTTGTTTCGACCTCCCAATTCGCATCTGCTAGATTTTCTTGCGCACATTTTTTGCAATTTTATTTTAAAATATTCAAATTACTCAAAATTAAAGATATACTTTCCGACGCGATATAAAATACTAAACAAGTGCAATCGTTTATTAAGTTATAGCTTATCCATTATAAATTCGTTTAAAGTCGCTGGAGATGTCGCGTTCGCAATTTCATGTAACGCTGCGTTTTAATCGAATTAATAACATCCGCTTGATCCGCATGACAGATATTATTTTTTCACCCTAAACGTCCGTATAAATATTACATCTACATTAAAACCAGTCTTTGGTTAATAGGATTCAACATCGTTCGCATAGAGAAGACTGAGCTCGGCAAGCACGCGAAAACCTGCTCCAAAGATTCAGAGGCGATACCAATCGTCTATCGTTACGGCTAATCCTTAAGACGCGATGGATGCTGCGGTCGGAGAACCCTCTCTTAGGCTTATTCTTCCACGAAACTGGATCGTTGTCCTGAGCGACAGGAGAAATACATACGAAGAATTCATTCCGCGACACCGATTGTCCTGATGCTGCGTGCGTGCTTCCGTCCAAGATCCTCTTTATAGTCAAAACGGCCCTTGCCGTCATTCCGCCCTTGCAAAATCGGCCAAGTTTTTTTGTCCGTTCCATAAAACTCGATTGTTTCGACCGAAACAACTGGAACCTAATCTGCTCGAGTCGATAGTGATCGTTTGATGTGGAGCATTACGATTTTCATCGTATAGATTTTATCATTAGGGAACGAGCAATCAATGATAGAGTACGAATGCCCGTAAACTTTTTAAATATAATAAGGATCGTGTTCTCCTTCCTCAATGATATTTGCAAAATGCGCGAAGCTGAAATTATTACACAGTAATTTCAGTGAGCGCGAATTTGCGAAATACCTATAAGATCCTCTCTTGTGCAACGCTCGATACACTACAAACATTCACGGAAATTGATATACTTTATTCTGACCCCACTCTCAATAAAGACGAGTACACGTTATATGTTAAGAAACATTCACGTCAATCAAATATACAATAATTTTTAATTAAATTTTATATTGTATTTACATTATGTTATATTTATATTATTTTTTAATTTTAATTGTGGATGATGAATGAATAGTGCTCTAGTTTAAATAGATGATCAATAATATATATTCTGCAATTAATACTTTGGCAACGGGAGACGCTTATTCGTGGTTGTTTCCACCGCTCCAATAATGGCCATGAAAGAGTTAATTCTTCGTGCTGGACCTACGCGATCCCGATCGTCGCGAGACGTAGGACCATTGACCTTTCCCTTTGAGTGGAGAGGCACGAGACGCACATAGCACAGCACTCGTTCGTCCGTAGTTATTAAGACGCGAACGCTTCTGCCGCGCGTACACGCTTCGATGCAATTCACACGAACGCGCGGACGATTAAATTGTCAGCTACGCGACTCTATAAATAACGCAACGCAGCGCCGCATACCACCACCGAGTCGAGTCCCGCGATTCTCGTTTTATCAACGCCCGTGAGTCTGCCGATGGAAAGCTCTCGCGAGAGCTGGTTTTATCGAGGTTCCCGCAGCGAAACGCTTGACGGATTTTGTGCAAAATTATTGTGAGAGAAAGAGAGAGAGAGAGAGAGAGAGAGAGAGAGAGAAGAGAAAGAAACAGCAATATGAAGCATTAGAATATCAAAGTTGTTAACAAGTAAAATAATTAACAATTATAGTTTCAAAAATAATTGCAAAAAAATGAATGATACGTAACGCAATTACGTATCAATGTATAGATTTTCGGAGATGGAATACATTCATCGGTCGCATTCCGTGGCTCGGAAGGAACTGCGTAAAAACGTGCAAAAAGGAACGGCTTGTCTAGTGTTTAGCTGTAACTTCAGCGTTCCTCTCGCATTCACTCGCTACCAAATGCATATCCTGGGCGCACATGTGCGCCACACTCCTCGCGCGCCCAAAGTTTATTGCCAGCTCGTTCTCCCCTTTCCCTCCTGCCCGTCCGCCCTTTCCATCACGATCGGCGCATCTCCTCCCTCGCCCGCGCGGCGCGTTCTATCGGCGTTCCAACCGGCGCTACACCAATTCAAAGTTCGTGCACTCTCCCTGTTTTCTATCCTCTTTCATCCTTCTCTCTTTCGCTCCTCTCCCGCGGGTTTGTTTACTTCGCAGTCTTGTTGGAATAATACCCCGGCAAGGTAATTATAGATACTGGGAGCTTCACAATGTGACTCCGACACGTTTACAACCGAAGACACACACCCGCGAATATTTCTCAGTACTGATACGCGTGGCGGCAGCTGACAATGAAAATCTTGACACCCGATATGAACACCCACCTCGACTTTCTCAGCGAGCAAACAAGAGATCTGTTTTAATCAAAAATGCATTTCATATCATGTAATATGATTAGCGTAATTCATGTAAATATTTTATATTTATATTTCAGTCATTTAATAATAATGCGAAAAATTTTCATTAAACTTTATAATATCTAATTTCGAAACAAATTTAATTCGAAATTACATTAAAGAATAAAGTTCAATTAACTAAATTTCAACAATAAAGAGATAATTCTACAGAACGCTAAATTTTCTTTCAACATTTTTATCGTGTAAAAGAGGCATTTTTTCTTATATATTGTATTAAATCACATGAATTTGTCGCCAAATCTAGAACGTTGACAAGACAAGGCGCATAGAAGAGTTTCTATTAATTTAAAAATATCTACAAATTTATGCAACAATTGTGATTGTACAATAATTCTTAAACAATATCTAGCGTTATCTGCAATTCCGCATCGATGATTCCTGGAAAGGCCCATCAGAACGCAGAAACCAAAGAGCGGAAGCCGTGAAGAGATTATTACTGGGCTCGGTATCTCGAAGCGCCCTCGATCTCCCGTCGAGTGCTTGCGGGCATTGTTTATGCCTGAGGATTGTTTTCGTTTGACGAAAAGCAACCAAGTTTTTCTCTATTACGCGTATACCCTCGCAAACGAGAAGATCGCTCGAATATTTCGTGTGTGTACTGAGACAAACTATAATGATGGAATCATCGGGAAAACAAAACCTACAAAAGTAGAGTTCTATTTCGGATATGCAACTTCACAAATAATAAGATTTCACACAAGTATTCTTTCAACAGCTTGCCTAACAATTCGCACTATACAGAAAACGTGCAAAAGTAAATAATGAAAAACGATAAAATATGACATAAAAGTAATTGTTACTTTATATTACGATATAAAAAGCAGAAAAAAAATAGAACTTGTTAATTATTGTCCCTTGCGTTATCATCTCGTTTCACGAACGAGATCGATGAAGGCCGAGCTCGCGCCGCCTAATCCGGAGATGAGAGGATGCGGCAATTATGGACTTCTTCCAAATTCGAGCTTCAAATCACGATCGGATACGAGCTAAAAAGGACACGGGAGCGAAAGAGCGTGCTGTTAATGCCATTACAGACGAGCTTGTGTATACAGCTTGTTGTCGGTTGGTAAATTACTATAATTGTGAAGTTCCGGCGATTTTTAGATTAGCTCTGGTCCATCAACGGTATATACCTATACCGACCTGCCGACACTGTCCAGAGATTCTCAACTCGACAGATCTCAACACGTCATCAGAATTCAATAAATCATATTGTATACAAAAATCAAGCGTTAAATATGGTCTGAATTTTACACTGTGTTTATGTAAATTTTTAATTTCGAAAATTAGTTAAATACATAAAAAAAAATCATTCTTATAAAATACAATCTTAATATAAATTACAAATTTAATTTAATTTTATTCAAAACTTTCAAAAAAACAAATATAAAATACGTTAATTCTTAGAAAGAAACTCGCAAAAAAAATAAAAAAATAAAAGACATCTTCGAAAGAAAACACGGATCTTCGATTAAAATCGCGCGAAGGTCTTGTTATACGACGTGACGCGCAAACGAGTCTCTCTCGATTAATTAATATAGCTGATTAAGCTAAATTAAAAACACACCGTGCAACCTGGCAATTAACCCAAATTAATGGCGCCAATAATGCGCGACCGTCGTCATGTAATAGCATCGCGCTTGGCAAGAAACCATACAATTATTTTCACTCACCGAGTTCAGTCGAATTCGAAAGCAAAACTCCGCGTGCAAATTAATTCTATGTGTATCAAGATTGTGTGTGTGTGCGCATACGCGCGCACACACACACACACACACACACACACACGTGGATTTATAAGCTATTTGTTTGACAAAGGAATAAAGAATCAATTGTAAAAGAAAAAAAGAGAAAGAAATTAAAGATTACTATAACCGCGTATTTACATCTATGACGATACGAAAAAAACGTTTTCACATGTTAATACATTCCGGCTCTATTGCTTTCTGTCAGTTAAAGTTCTTACTTATGTTTTTTGAACATGT